AATTGGCAGATACATATTAGTAGTTCCTGTTCCAATTATTACTGCCCCTGCTTCTATGGTTGTAAAGCTGAAAGTAGCGGAAGCAAGGGAAAAACCTGCACTGTTCTCAGCTTTTACAGTCCAGTAATATATAGTACCATTTTGTAAGGGGATAGTAGGAGTAAAAGTTAAACTTGTTGTAGTTCCAATTGGTGTAGTAGGAGTAATGGGAGTAGGAGATGCATCACAGAGAACAGTATAAAGAGAAGGAATACCACCTGTTGTGGGAGCAGTCCAAGTGAAGGTAGGTAAGGTACTAACCAAAATTGCTCCGTTTGTGGGTGCTGTTAAAGTTACGGGACCAGGTGTCTCAGGACAGATTTCCGGACCAAAAACAGCATCTACATAAATAGTACCAGTAGTAGTATGAGTGGGTGGTTGGAGGTGGAGGTGGCGGAGGAGGCGGAGGAGAGGGGGGGGGCAAGTGAAAGGGAGAAAATATAAGTTTCATCATTTTGGTATGGCCGATGACAAAGGCCATGATCGAGCGTCTGGCGGTCGTTCAAACACGGCAGCACGGGTAGCAAACATCAAGAACTAAATAACTCACGGTGGCAGTGGTCGTCGAACCCTTGAGAGATCACCAAGAAATCTGTAACGGCAGCAAGCTCCCTCATCGCACGCTCTCCGTCCGACAGTACCTGACAGTGGCGGGCATCCGGCCAAAACACGCTTGTTTTCTCGTTATTTTCTGTGCGAAATGAGAAAAGTACCCAGGAGGACGCCTTCTGCCACGGGCGGTGACATTCGAAGGGTGTACAGAAGAAGCTGATTGGACGAGAACAGGTCCTCGGAGAAGCTACACAATCGCTCGTCGGCTACGTAAAACCAAGGCAACGTTGCGTCCACAGCAGCCAGTCACGCATACACCTGCCACACGAAAGAAAAGTTCTTGGCGTCTTTGTGTGACCACGACCGTTGCCCTAGTATGGAGGCCGATACAACAAAGCGGGGGGGGCGTGCCGAAGGCACCCTGCCAGGGTCAAAGGGGGACCTAGTGGCGTCGCCCCTAGATTCTGGGGAAAATAGTCGCTGCTTCCTTTGAGTAGAGGGCGTATGGTTTGGTCTCGCCCCGAGCGACCTCAAACGAGTACGCCAGAAACAAAACATGTTCCAATACCACTATACAAGTACTGTAGTCTCCACAAGGCGGCTCTCTCACCTGCTTGTATGGTTTAGTCTCGTCCCGAGCGACCTCAAACGGGTACGCCAGAAACAAAACACGTTCCGATACAACCATACAAGTTCTGCAGTCTGCACAAGGCGGCTCTCTCACCTGCTTGTTGGCCTGGACTAGGAGAGGCACCCCAAAGTCCACGGTTCCGAAGACGGGGTCCACTAGAATGTTTATCCCGTTCACCTCCCACATCCAGCTGTTGAGCTCGAGGTACCTGAGACGCCGACAGACAAACGAAGACGAGATGGTCAGAGATGTGCGCTTTCCCGACTGTTTCGGCGGTTGACACACCTTTCGATGTATGCATATGGTACCATACACTGCTCGACGGATCAGGTGGGCATGGCGGGGAAGGCGGGGTGTGTGACGCGTGATGAAGTCAGCGGTGGACGAAGCACGAACGATCACGACCAGGGTCCTGCCTCCCCACCTACACACCAAGTTTCAACGTGTGCATCAACGACTTTGGCATATAATATAATTAGTTCTTGCTGCCTTTGTCCTTCAGCCCACTTGATTGACAACAAAAAAGAGAACCGCGTTCGTCACACTCCACAGATACGTGGTGTTGGTACGTGACGCGCGCACGCAAGTCTTGTCGTAAGCGTCAGACAAAACGTCTTATTGAAGACACGACAGCGGACTTGTTCCCATATGGGCAAACCGTGACATGCGCTTGTCGACTGTCGACTCGTCCTGTGTCTTCCTTCTGTTTGGAGTCCTAGAACTGGAACGCCGCAAGCCTCGAGGACCGACTTGCGCACCTCGGCGCTGGCCCTACTTCATGGAGGCGTTATGTACAGCCAATGATGCCATCAGTCGCGTCTAGTCCTGGCGATCATCTTCATCGATACAAATGTAGTTCGGGGCCGACTACATAAACGAGGACAACCCGCTATCGATGTTTGTAGCATCTCTCTCGAAACCAACCTTAACCTTCTCGAATACCGATATACGTTGTCCGTCTCTCACGAGATTGAAGGTGGTGTATTCTCCACACCACACATCCCACAAGAAACTTGAGCCGCAACGCGAGCCTGGACATACCTGTCTCATAAATTGGGCTTAAACAAAACTGGGCCCATGTATAGATTTGCGCCCTTGAAGAGGTGTTGTACGAAAGCATTGCGATCCGCATTGGAGACTGAAGAATGAGGTGGCAGATTGGTTACTGGACACAACAAACATGCCATATTCATGCACACAATCATGTCGGTGGACTTGAAGGCGTGTCCTGCTTCTAGGTCTACAGCAAGCGTCGTTTTTCATCTTGGTCAGCCGGTTGGCGCGGTCGGTGCTCATGCAGCTCCACGGCAAACACGATTCACCTATATGACACAGCCTGTTCTTGTAGAGGCGGAAACAATCGAAAATTCTCTCTCTCGAACACAGCAGTGCATTGTACACACATACTCCGCAGGCCGCATATAGGGTGCTACGTTTTGAAGCCAATGCAGTGAATTATGGTTCACACTCGCGTCGGGGCACCTCGGCGTTGGGGGAATCTGCTTGTCACACATCGCTGCGGTTGTTGCTGGCAGCATTGGCCTCCTGGCACGCCCTTGGGGCAGATACAGCAGCGGTGCAACTGCTGCACAAACAGACCTTGGGCACATCACCCACTGCCGTACTGCTGTACAAACACACTCACGTGAGCTTGATGGCGCCGGCAGGCCCTCGGGGCACCTTGTCGGACGTCTCTAGCTCCAACGCTTTCCTCTCTCCTCCTCCAACAACCATCCTGACTGCGGCGGCGACGGGACGTCGCTTGGCGCAGGCGGTCCTTGCGACAACAGCGGGAGGAGCAGCCGTAGAACGACTACTCCAGCGGGAGTCGCATTTCGCACCTGCCGGCGCTGCTGCTGGAAGGAAACCAGCAGCAAGATCGGTGAGAAGGAGTGCCACGACACTTGCCAGAGATAGGGCTGCCGCCGTGGTCTTCATGCTCTGTCGTTCGCGGGAAGTGGGCATCCTCAAGCCTTTCTACCGACTGCGCACCGCGCCGTCGCTGCAGTTGCTAGCGCCTACGTATTGCGGCGTAATTACGTTGTTGCCGAGTTGCCGATGACGCGGCCGCTCAAGAAAGCGGCCTAATTTTGTACGATACCGCTGCTGCCTGCTGTGCGTGTACGCTATGTGAAGACGCACACAAACTGTGCGGCGTCCGCGTAAGTACTCCCGCGATAGAGAGGGAATGGGCAAGAGCGGAGACTGCCGTGGAGCGTATAAGCCTACATGAAAAGTTCGAGAGCTCGAGGCATCGTGCATGCATGCGGAACCAACTGAAACCCTTGGTTCTCGCCGTCCGATCGCCCCCCCCTCCCCCCACCACGGAACTACCTTAGGTGACGCAAGACACGAGATACCACACCCGTGTGATAACATTTGTGGAGGCCCAAAAGGTATCACACGGGTGTGGTTTTCTGTAGGGGGTGTCATACCTTGTGTCACCTACGATAGCCGTCTCGTGGTCTTGGCTGCAACCGTCCTCAACAGACTGTTGCTTTCCAAGGAGTGTTTGTTTGCACATTGATTGCCACCTTTGTAGGACTCCCTGCTCAGCTGCTACCGCAGGCGGCATGCCATCGGTAGCTCCCCCGAAGCAGAGCCCTCGCGGTAATCGGAACGAGCTGCACGATGCGGCCGACAACGACCTCATCGCGGAAGTTCTAGCTCTGCTTCGCGGCGGGTCCGTTGACATCGACCAAGGCGACCCGCACGGCTGGACCCCTCTCATGTTCGCCACGGCGCAGGGCCACTCCCGCACGGTCCGGGTCCTGCTGGACGTGGGGGCAGACGCATCGATGGTGGGCGAGAACGGCGCCACGGCCCTGATCATCGCCGCCCAGCGGGGACACCTCGAGGCCGCAAAGATGTTGGCGGAGGCAGGCGCATATCTCGAGGCGGTGACCCGGAAAGGCTTCACCCCGCTCCACCTCGCCGCGTACGAAGGGTACCCGGACGTGATGAGAGCGCTGATCGCCGCGGGCGCGGAGGTCGACAGCCGCATGCCGAACGGAACAACGCCGCTGTACACGGCCGCGCTGAGGGGGAAAGTGGAGTCGACCAGAGAGCTGCTTCGCGCGAACGCGGACCCGCTCCTGGCAAGAACGACTCCGGCCGGGAATTTCCCCCCCTTGGCCGCAGCGGCGGAGCGTGGGCGCGTGGGCGCCGTTCGCGAGCTAATTCGGCAGCTAGGGATCGAAAAATTTGGCGCGGCCGGCGGTCTAGAGGCCCTTCGCCTCGCCGCGAAAGAAGGGCACGTTGACGTCATGGTCGTGTTAACCGAAGCCGGGGTGGTGGACACGGGCGTGGCTTTGGCCACCGCCGCCGCAATCGGCATGGAAGCATCCGTGAAGTTTCTGCTTCAGCAGCAGCAGCAGCAGCAACGGCATGAGGAGAAGAGCATCACCACTAGCGAACAACGCGCGTACGTGAACAACGCCCGCGACCCCCTCGGCAGACCGCCCTTACTCGGCAGCATCGACATCGGGATTATCAAGCTGTGCTTTCCCAGGATCGTGCGTTTGCTCGTAGACTCAGGCGCGGACACGGAGTCGGCCGTTCGTTACACGTACAGGGATGGGTTGGTGGGATTCAGCGACACTCCTCTGTGTCGCACGATCCGCATCCTCCGTGACGTGGAGACCGAGGGGAAAGACGACAAGGAGGAGCAGCTGGGCAGGTTGGAGGCCGTCCGCCGCTTGCTGTTGCGGGTGGAGGCAGTTCATGCAACCTCCTGGGTGTGGCCCAGCAGTGCTGCTGGCTCTGTCGCCCAAGATGCTGCTGAGGTTAAAGCTGGCGCTGAGACGGAGCCGACACGGTTGACAAGCACGCTGCAAATCCTTAGGCGTAGGGCTACGAGACGAGGCGTGCTATTGCGGGCCCTGTCAAGGTGGGCGGTGATTTTTGTATCTGGTCAATGATACTCGACGCCTTCTTGCTGCTGTGGTCCCGTGTACTGTTGTAGCGCGTTTTCTAGCTGCACCTTTGATTTTGGCGTGATTTCCTCAAGCGGCGCGGGTGCGTTGCTTCCTATGTATTTGTTAAGTTGGTTGTTGTGTTCGTTTGCAGCAATCATGCCCCGCCAAATACCTCAAACGCTTCGAGAGAGCTGGTGCGGGTGTCCGTGCGCATGGTGCGTGCGCTCTTTCGTCTTCGTTTTTTTTCTCTTCCGCTTTCTGCCATAATTTTGGCAGTGGAACCGAACGCGTGTCTCACTCTGTCGAACTCTTCGCTTTTCCTCTCCGCACAACACCACACACACACGTAGGCACGAAGATACTGCGCTACTCGATTCCTTCTAGTTGATGGTATTAGTTAGTGCGTTGTTGTAGCAGGAAGGCCTCGAGCGGTGTGTATATTAGACGCGCTTGCACGTCGAGTCTCTCTCGCCCCCCCCTATCTCTGTGTGTCATTGTTTATTTGTTTTTCCTCCTCGCGTCAAGTATTGTACTTGACCTCATTCTGTCAAAAATGACGATATCCGCGAGGCAGACGGTGCTCTCTAGTCATATGCATGCATTTTGCCTGAGAAAGAGAACGCAAACGGGAATGGGCTTTTCCCGGGAAGGCGGTGACAACCAGGCATAGCTGGGAGGGTTCGTCTACCTTTCTGCTCAACGGTTACCGTCTCGACGCTCCCGATGAGTCTAAGCAACCCACAGCATCGCCCACAGGCCGCATGCCCTGAGAACTAAGGCCGCAGCTCTCAAGACCTCAGGCTTTGCCAAACGTGGGTCTTTCTTTAGCTCTCAACGGGCCTGCGTTGCCTGAGGCTTCGACTGATCGCTTTGTTTCGCTGGTTGTGTCGGGTGTTGCTGCTGTGGTTCGCTTTCGCAGGTATTCGTCGTCAGAGACCGACGTTGCATGTGAACCTTCTCGCGGGATATTTTCATGAAGAGGGCGGCGGTTTCACGAGAGAGTTTCGCTTTCTTTATTGTCGTTGGACGGAGCGAGAACCGTGGGGGGTGTAGAGGGGACGCTGTTTCTTTCCTCCAAGCAGTTGTAGCGAAATCAGCGGTAGATTACAGGCGGTTTGAGCCGCGGAGAGAACGCGCAGGTGGATGGCGACGATGGTGCTTGGGCTGCGTGGAGTAGCGGCAGCTTTTGAGCAGACGAACGCACAACCAGAACCTGGATCAGTCGCCTATGGTGTAGCTTTGAAGGTGCGGGGGGGAAGCTCCTGTTTAGAAGCGGGGGCTAGAATTTTTACCAGAGGTTGGCCTCCACCGACTGAAAATAATTGTCATGTCCATGCTTTTGATGCCAAACTGGCCAAGAAGGCGCTGTCATGTTAGCCGTAGCCGCCGCCGCCGCTGCCGCCCATCACGCTACTACTCGCCATGGCACTGATGGAAGAACGGCCGAACTATTAGACTAGAAGCGCCGCGACGTCTGGGCGCATGTCGCGCGGCTGCTTCCAAAGAGTAGATACATCACCAACGCAATTCTCGCTCAAGCACATGGTGGCTCGTGGTGGCAACACTATTTTGCAGCAAGCTAAGTAACAAGCTTTGTTACATCAAGCTGACAAGACCAAGCGTGCACAAACCAGAACAAGTCCACCCTTCCAAACCAAACGATTGCGCAACCTATTGGCGTCCCCTCTTTTGCCTTTCCCGGATTTCCCGGAAACACCCCCCTGCGGTACTTGAACAAGCAGTGACCCTCGGTACCCATCTCCACACCTCTGGATAGCACATGCTGCTGCTACCGTGGTGCCCGACGTGTACAGTGTTCGTAGGATTGGCTTCTTGTTCGTGCTCTGGTTGAAACTGCTGCTACAAAACCGGTGGGCACGTGAGAGGTGTGACCATGAGGGCAACACCTTGACGGGGCACCGAGAATAAAACTACGAAGCACGCACAATTTGAGTGGATGTGGTGGCTTAGCCGCCAAGTTTTTGCCCTATTTCCTGTTTCTTCCCCGATATCCCGCGAGACCCGCGCCTTTGTAATGGAACACACCCATTCCGTCCCATTTCCGTCTCAAAATCGGGCCCAGCCCAGCACCACAAAATTTCCGTCCCATCACGCAAAACCGACAAAGTTATAACATGCAGTGGTTTTCTTGCAGCACTCCCATGTACTTCTCGCTCCCAACACGCCAAAGGACGCCAGCCAATGAGCGTAGACGGCGGTACAACCGAAGGCCAAAATGCCACGCCGCCTGCTCGAATATCGAGAAGGTGAGTGCCCCTACCCCCCCCACTGATCCTCATCATAATTTAACATCAAAATTTTTGTAGAGTGTCCTTGAGAAGTTTGGCCTTCGTTTGTTCACAGAATAGCCGCCGGGGGGCCTAACGATCCCCCCCGCACACACGTACACCGATTTGCAAAATCCAGTATCGTCACTCGTCCCAACGGAGTGGCCTGTTCGTATGCAACGGCTACTTCAAAGCGTTGAGCGCCTAAACCAAAAGCACCGATACCCCCTGTCGCTACAACAGCTTAGGCTTGGTATATTTCTTGCAGCCCGCGGCATCGGTCTTCCGAACTGATCGAAGAACGACGCAACCGGATGGTATCACACACTCCCCTTCCATGTCCCTCCCATCTGTCCGATCCATCCGTCCGCGGCTCTCCTTTTCAACAACGATAACAAAAAAAAAAAGAACAAAGCCGAGTTCTCACGGGGCGTAATGTAACAAGCAGGACATGACAAGAAAAGACGCACACGCACCACACGCACACCACAAGACAATAACCCAACCTCCCCCCGCCCCCCCATTCGGCCTGAAACGACTGGAGTCCTCCTCGAAATCCACGACGATGCATCATATTCCACGGCGACCACTACGAACGACCCACGCCGGCAACCCACACCACCACCACCACCACCACTACCATACCGCCACAACACCCAAAACACCACGCCAATTTTTTTCTACAGAGCTTTTGGTAGGCCGGCCCGCCCGGGGGGAAGAGATGCGTAAGGGACGGCGGCGTCGAATCTCAACACGGGACGCCGGCCTGTCATCATCGCAGCACCCCACCACCAACCCAACCACCTCTCATCACAAGGGCTACTTCTTCTCAAGCTTTTTTTTTTTCTCTACATTCTTGGCCCGGGTGCGGCGGCGGCGGCGGGGGGCGCCGGGGTGGGGGGTATCGGTGACCCCACACCCAACTGCGAGGCCCCTGACTCTCTCACGGCCGGGTCAAAATACCTCCCCGGCTTCTCCGACGGCGGCGCGTTGGGCTTGGAGCGAGCCTCGTGGACGTGCCGGTAGCAGATCGAGCTGAGCATCGGCAGGTTCAGGAGGTACTGGGTGTTCTCCCTCACCGATAGCGTGCCGTCAAGGTCGACGCACTTCAGCCCGATCGATTCGAAGTAGCGCGACGGCCTGGCGAAGAGAACGGACGATGAAGAAGGAGCGGGCAAGGTAAGTGGAACAAACGCAGAAGAACAAGGACACGCACGCCGTGTGCGATGGGGGAACTGGGAAGAACCCTAGAAATGAAACGGCGTAGGGTGACTCGCAGCAGACTCGCGGCAGACTCGGGGCACGTGGGTGATTTGATTCGACGGCCAAAAACTCCAACACACCACCCACATCCCCGGCATCAGCGGCGGCGGCGAGTCATGCCCGAAACAAGCGGTAGAAAAGAGCGGCCAACGAGGCACGTAAGAGAAAATAGAACCAAACGAAGTGGCGAATGAGAACAACACCGCCAGCTAGCTCTGCGCGGGGAGGCATTCTACAAGCTGGTCTGACCAAGACGCAAATTTGAAGGTTGAAGCGGATTTCCCACGCGGTTTTTTCGAGTTAGAACCTGAAATTTTGACACGGCATCTGCATGAGTACTATAAACACAAAGGCCACTGCGCTATTTGGATTTTTTTTTTATTTCGTAAGTTAGGCTGATATTAGTATTCATGGGAATATTTGCTATGCCAAAAAGTCGCAGAAAAAAAGAAAGAAGTCAAATGGCGCAGTGGCTTATTTGTTTGTTGACTCATGGGGATGCCGTGTCGAAATTTCAGCTTCTAATTGGAAAAAACAGCGTGGGAATCGCGAGATCCTTACGTTGCCTCAGGTATCTCGTGTGTTGTATCGGATTCTTTAATAGGCCATAACTTCTGATGGAAGATGCCGTGAGCCTTGAAACTACCATCTTTGCTCTCGCGATGTTCCCAGGTACATGCACAGCAATTTTCAGCTTGATCTGAGAAACTTTTTTTTATGCTGATTTCAGTACAGGAAGTATCCAACTATGCCGCCAATTGATAGTTATATACCTAAAATCAACTCAGATCCGAAAAATTCTGGCACCTGCGCATCCCCTATGGTCTTATACGAGCACCCGCCAAATTTGAAGTCTAAATTCGTTGAAACAGCAGAGTGGGACATGAAAGAACGAAAGTTAGCTTCTTGGTCAGACCAGCTTGTAACACAGCGCGAAGGCCATTACCATTGGCTCCGAAAAACCTCAATGTTCCCCAACAATCATACAAGGCAGTCACACAAACGACAGCGATCGCTTACCCGGAGCTCTGCTGGTGGTAGGTGTCTATTCGCACTTGGGCCGCCCCGGCGTGATCGTCCGCTCTCCCCGACCCCTTACCCCTCTCCACGATACGGCTCGCCATCACCTCGTCGGGGCAATTAATCCTGCGGCAAAGGCGTCCGCGCACAACGCACACACAGCACAACCACCACCAAATAAAGCAGAAGAAGGAAAAAACACGCACACACGCGCGCGAGACAAAAAGGCGGGGTCAGCAAAATCGACCATCAGACATTCGCGAACGATTTCGAGTAGCAAGCGCTAGGGGTCATGTTTGGAGGTGGTGGTGGCCACCGCCGTTGTGTCCCTCACGGTAACTCATCCGAGAAGCAAGCACGATCCTGCGCTAAATAGCACAAGAACTATTAGATGGCAAACACACGCGGGGCACCGAAAACGCGGGGTACAAAACCGCCCAGCGCGTGTCCCAAGCGATAGTTGCGTGGGATAGGCGATACGTGACAAAAAAGAGGACGGGGGGAAAGGGTGCGATTCATGCCGTGCTCCACGAGATTCTGACGTACTGAAAGGTGGCTTCTACGCTCTCACATACAAAAGAGTAGCCTTTCCCCAAGTTATTCTAACACGCATCCGCCCCGTGACACTCCTGTACCGTATACTTGTATACTTCTAGTGACGCAAAACGCACCTGATGCACGCCTCTGGAGGGCCGAAGAGCCTCGCCCAATCCCTGGCGTTGTCCAAAGAGCGAGGGAATCCGTCCAGCAGCACATGCTTGCCGGGGTGAAGGGTCAAGAACTTCTCCAGGAGCGCCTATTATACCAACAGCCAAGCGGAGCACACACAGGGTCAAGTGTCGAACACAAAGAGTCGAGGCGAGCATAAAGAGTCAGGTCGAGCAAACACAGAAGGGTCCAGCACAAAGTAGGGTCCCGCACAAAGTAGGCCCTCCCCTTCTTGTCGTGGTGCCGTTTTCCTCGACTGGATTGACCCATACCGGCATCTCTTCTTCTGTACCGACACGGCCGGCTACGGCAACCAGATTGCAAAGGAGAGCCGCGTGCGATTTCTGCTGTTGCGAACCCCAGGAACCTTGCCGTGCAGCACAACGATAACCCGCAGGGGTGATTCGCAAGCGCGACAGCAGTCTACCACGAAACTCGCAGGACACTCATGGAAATCACCGAGGCCGAGCCGCCATTTTCTGCTACGTCGCCAACAACAGCAGCAGCTGCAGCAGCAAGACTACACGCCAACTCCAGTTTACGCGAAATGACAGGACGGCAGGATTTCTACTTTTCTCTGTTAAAAGTTACGGTAGTACAGCAGTAGCAGATCGTGCGACTCACCAAAACAGTACTGGCATCGACGAGGCGGCCCTCCTTCATCCTCTCCGCCACCTGCTCCAAACAGCGACAACAACAGCAATAGCAACAGGAGCAGCAGCAGCAGCAGCAGAAGCAGAAGTTGGACGGACACTTTCAACCCAGAAACAACAAAGACCGCACAAAAAACAAGGCACCAGCACCTTATCGGGGGGTGGCGAGGGGCACATTGGGGATGCACCAAAAACGGTTCCCTTGCAGGCTTGATTGATACCGAGGCTTGCGCGAGGTCTGCCGAAGAGTGTGCATTTCGGGTATTTGATTTGTCTCCGAGCTCAGAAAGCCATCGGAGACGCAGCACAGCCAGCACGAACCGCTCTTGGCTGCATGCATCACCTACTCCTTCCCTAAGCTAAGGCATTTGTCACGTGATGTCCCCATCATTCGTACGGGAGAAAGTGGGCGCCCCGGGGGGGGGGGGGGGGGGGGGGGGGAAAAGGGTGGCACCTCAAAAATCCAAAGCCGGGGGGGCCCCCCCACTGGGGGAAAAAACCCCCCCTTTTCCCCCCTTTCCCCCCGTTTTTTTAACCGACCCCCCGAACCAAAAGGGTTTTCCGCTGAAA